ATGTAATAATTCATAAAATATGTAAGGCCTAAAAAATACATATCGATTACATAAAAAATTACATTGCCCATCCCTAGATAGATCACCTTTCGTGCTCAGCAGAAATTCCGAATCCGCCCGCATATTATTGAAATTTTTTTTAAAATCCGGGTTGGCGGGTCACGAGAGGTTAATTGGTGAAAACTGAAGATATAAGATTGCATTAGTATGGTCTAATTACGATCAAAGCCTAACAACAAATTATGTATCGATACGTACAAACTTCTTTAATTAGAAATAATGCACATGTATATGATAAGTATTGCGAGAAGTCTTGCATTGCTTGGCACAGTCATCCCCCCATACAATCACACAGTTGAGGTTTTTTCTTATAAATTAAATGTGATTATATATGATGTGATTATACGGTAGGTGACGATATGGAGGGATGACTTAATAATCAATTATATATAGCAAGTGTTTAATTGTAGGCACGATTTGATTTAAATAAAACTATGTTACCTTGTTTTACGGGCCTATGCAGTCCCGGAACGATCAGATCATTTCTCGCCTGATATGGTCATTTTCCAAGAAATTCACTATTGAAAGAAAATGCCAAGTAGTGATTCTCCTAGCAGATGACCCATATGGGGAAAATCCGATTTCTTTAAATTAATGATCATTACTGTATTACACGTATATCCTGTTTACTTCTGTGGATACTATCGCCCAGAAATCTTTAATGATTTCAAGAATTACGACAATAAACGAGCTATTCATAGTTAGGTCAGAAGATACTAAAAAAGGAAATTTTGAGAAACTTCGATTTTGGCCAAAAATAAGTATTTTTTTGACTATACCTGATGTGATGCAATTTTTTTACATATTGAAAAATTCAATCATGTGCATAACGCATATATATAAATTATTGTCACACCGTATACCATATACTATATTAATAATACAATATGCCAAGTTTATAATTATTGCTATAATTAAACCCAAAAAAATTAAACATAGAAATCTTAACGTACGTAGTATAATTTTCAATGATAAAAGGTATACGTGTAGCATATTCAGGGGCCATGTGAAACCGAAAATTAATTTGTTTCATTACAATTTGCCTTATTTGAACTATTGGAAAACCCGAAGCAATAGCAGTAGGGTATTCGATACGCACATATATTAACATGTATTATACCTTTCAATAAAAACAAAAAAAAACTGTTGATCAGTTTTTATATCTTTTACATTTTCATCTTTATCTACGTTTGCGTTCTAACGCTCCTAAAACTTCATCGGGACTAACTGTCATCGTTGAATTTGTAGCCGTCGGGTAAGCTTTACCAAACGCATACGATCGACTTTTGACTTTGTCTTGCTCCTAAGCTTTGTCGTAAAAAAAAAAAAAAAAGTATCCAAAAAATTGCAGGATTTATAGTAGTAAATTTAATACATAACACATAAAACTTGCTATATTAAGAAATTATCCGAACAGACACAACCTTAACCTCCAGTCAACAATAATGAAGCTATCATTTTTATTTCCTCTCATTGCGATAAGTTTCATTCCTTTAGCGAAAACACAATCACAGGTTTGCAATGGATATACGGAATTCTGTAGCAAATCTTATTCCCAAATAGCGTTTGTCGCAACACATAACTCATATGCATATGGAGGTGTTCCCGCGGCAAATCAAAACTATGACATTTCAACACAGTTAAAGGATGGTGTTAGAGCTTTCCTTCTTGATGGACACAACTCGACGAAAGGGTCTGATATTGAACTTTGTCATACGAATTGTAATCTATTGGATACAGGAACTGCTGCAAATACTTTGAAAAACATTACAAGTTTTTTACAAAAGAATCCGAATGAAGTAATTACAATCTTTTGGGAAAATTATGATAATATAGATCCGCTTAGATACAAGGCTGAGTACGATAAAGCGAATTTGACTCAGTATTGCTTCACACAACCCGTTGGTGGAACATGGCCTACCATGTCTAAGATTATTCAATCTGGACAACGGGTTATTAACTTTATTGACACAAATGCTAATACTAATACCGTTCCATGGTAAGAATATATTTTGTATACGATATTGGTCATGCAACGATTAATATCATGAAATTTTGAGACATATGTCTTATAACTTGATTTTCAGCCAATCATTTGCTCCAGCTGAACAAATTTTGTGATATTTATCCAATATCGTCGTGCTTGAAGTTAGCATCTGCTTGAAGTCGTAACTGCCTAAATTACTAACTAATGCGGGCAAGGAAGATCTAATTTCAGGGGTTAATTTGTTAATTTTAGTTAGTAAATTCAAGCACGACATCATACGTGCAATTTATGATCATGATTTACAAGTCGTGGTTAGCTAATTTGAGTTTTAATCCTGGATTGTAATAACGTACAAAAAATAACAAGAAAAAAATCTATGATCATAAAGAGTTTGCACAATAAATACTGTATAATGGTTTTATTATATCTATTTCTTGTTAACTTATATATTATTTACAGGTTAATGCCCGAATATTCTTACGTATTTGAAACTCCGTTTGATAACTCTGATCCTAATGCATGGCGATGTACTGTTGACCGTCCAAAAGATCAACCTCAACAATTATACCTGGTGAATCATTTCCTCTATAATGTTATACAAGGTTTGGGTAGTGCTGTCGAAGTTCCCGAACGTCAAAATGCTTCGTCAACTAACAGTGATAATCTTGCTAAGCATGTTCAAAACTGTACTAATGTTTTTGATGGAAAGATTCCAAACTTTGTTGCTATCGATTTTTACGATCAGGGTCAAGGCAATGTAAATGTGTTTAGCGTTGTTGCTGATTTGAATAAAGTAACATATACGCCACAGACTTATGGTAATGGAACAAGTCCTTCCGGAAGTAAAAAAAGTAGTGCTAGTGATCTTAAAGTAAATGGTTTATTTAGTGCTGTGATCGCCTTAATGGGCGTTGCAACTTTCATTATTATTGGATTGTAACAAAAACAATTTGATACGTATATATTTTTAGAGTTTAATATTATACATTTTATAATTTTTTTGTTTTCAAAACTCATCATTTTATCTATAATTCATGAAATGACAAATATCAAATTTATTGTAGAATAAATGTGTAGCATTAACATCCTTTAAGAATATTATCATCAATTTTATACATTAGATTGACAATTTTTTTAAAAAAAAATTTAAAATAAAAAATTATGACTCATCTTTCAATTAAGTATATTTCAATCAAATTTAGATCTAAATAAATTATTTAAGTTGTTACAGCAAAAATCACACGTAGTCAATCTACCCTAGAAAATAAGCTATGTGCACAGACAAATTGAATACGTATGTTCATGAAACTAACCTTTACATATATGCATTCCGGATAAAATTACGTATAAATTTTTTAAAATCCCACTCAAGCTCAAATTCCATATTTTGACTCGTAATCTAAAATCCAAAATGTGGTAAAATCTCAAGTCTCAAATCTCGAAACATATACAAAAGATAGGGTAATGCACATGCTTGAACATTAAATTTTCATATTTGTTACGATCTAACATTATTAGGAAAACCCATTTCTGCGAAACGACAAAAAAAATGAAACTTACTCCTAAATGATGATCTCGGAGCAGGTTAAAACCTTCTGCGCAACCTTACCCCGCGAAACTGCATAAAATGAAACTTCTATAGATAAAACTTCTTATAAAAGATGAAATTCTTGATACTGTAAAAGATTAAAGCTCTTGACTCGGTTTTAGATGCATGTTCAGTATTCTATAAATATGATTACTTAATATATTTAATTGTAAATGATTTTGTAGTGTAGAAAGTAAATAATCATTAATTTTATATAATTAAATAGAAAATTATTGACATCTCTGGTCAAAGATGCTTAGCTTATGCATCTCTAGTAAATAATTTTAATTAAAGTTTGGGTTAAAGTTTGGGTAAGAGTTATGGAAAGAATGAGTATTATAAGTAAAATTGGTTTATTGATATTTTTATTTAATGTTCTAAAATAGGTTTAGGTAAGGGAAGTGTCAAAAATCAGGTGATTTTTTAGAAGGAGGGAGGGGTAAAAAAAGATAAGATTATATATAAAGAACCTGACTATTTATATATTAAGAAAGGGAGAGGGAGTAGGTCTCTGATAAAAAAAATCAGATGATTAATGACACGGCCCTAATCATTTTTTGTATTTTTCACATTTTTGTTTTTTTTTTGCTCAAGACTAACCTGAAAGAAAAAAACCTTTTCTTATATATCATCAAAATAAACCAAAATAAGAATACACTCAGTAAACTAAGTAACAAATATTAATTAATTAATTTATATATACAAACAACTAACAAAAACTAAGATGTACACAGTGTATATAATATAAAGTAAAAGAAATAAAAAGTAGAAAACAAAATAACTAACACAATTAAGCAATTTTTAACAAACCAATAATATAAAATTTATGTAATTATAGAAATCAAGTGATTTTTTTTTAAATAATCTACCAAAATTTCAAAGTATTATACAAAAGCCTTCTTTAGACCTGCAAGTAATAGCAAGTATATATATAATTTATATTTACTTGGACCATAGCTGATAATTCAAAAAAATAAAATAAGCTATATAAATTTAATAAATTAGTTAAATGCAAAATATAAAAACTTTAAGTTAATTTATTAACAAAATATTAAAAATATTTTTTTTATAGTAAACTTTAAAATGTTTAATTATAATACAAGTGTAATTAATATTTTTAACTAGGTAAGCTTAATTGTAAAATATCAATTATTTTTAATGTTTGTAAAAATCTAAATTTTATTTCACATCCAAGTCTTTTGAAATTAAATGCTTTAACAGTTGTTAAATATATTAATAGTTTAGCAGAAATTGTATAAAAAAGAATAAAAAATATTTTTAAAGAAAATTAGAATTATGTTTAATAAAAAAACAAATAATAACATTTATTTTGTTGAACTGTTTGGTATTTATCAAACAGTTCATAAATTTAGAAATTTAACTTTACTTATATTTTTATTATTTGAGAATTATACTAGTTAAAATACAAAAGTTTATATTATATTTGTTAAAAACATTTTAGTATCATATAATAATATTATTAAAAATCTTTTTTTTCTTAGATAATAACTGTAGCATTAACAAAAATAACTATAAATTTGAATTTTCTACTTGTAAAATATGCACTATAATATTTAAATTGAGTATTAATAATTTTATTCATTTTTTATTTGTTTTTGTAAGTTAAATTTGTACAATTGTATATATAATAAAAATTTACAAAAATACAAAAAAACTTGCAAAAATAACATCTCTAAAACTAATATTAAAAAATGCAATTTATTAAATAAATATTATAAAAATAATTGAATAATGTAAAGAACTTATTTTTTATATTACTCAAATTAATGAATTTTCAGTTTGTAATATTTTATTAGTAGAGCAGTAAAATATTAATAATATTAATAATTTTACTAATCAACTTTAATATTTTTTAAACTAACAAATAATTTACAAAATAAATTTATAAACTTATATAATGTTTATACTTATTTTAATTTATTAATAAAAGAATATCTAAGTTTAAAAAATTAGGTAAAAAAAAATATATTAATAGTTTATAAATTTATTTTTAAAAAAACTATAATTAAAGTTTTGTATAAGCAAAAATTGTATTAATATTTAATAAAAAACAAAAACTTTAAGTATTTATTGTTAAACAAAATATACAACAAACAATTAATAAAAAATTTATAATAATAAAGAAATAAATAAAAAATCAAAATATATAGATATAAATATTTTTTTTTAATATTAAAGTAAAGTCTTACTTCTATTTTTATTTGTAGTTATTAAGTAATAACTATATAAAGTTACTAAATACAAAATGAAGTTCTATATATGTTATAGCTAAGACCAACACTTGCAGTCAGGGCTAATCATTAAACTACTAATTATAAAACTAT